GTTATTGGGACCAACTGGCTCTTGACATGGTATCAGAGCCTAAAACCGAAAGGTCAAGTGTTCGAATCTCCACAACCCTCAATATTAACAGTTTATATTAAAGCACAAGGTATGGTGGACCTATGCAAACTTCAAGCCCAAGGGTTGGCTTTCGTTTGAGGGGTCGTTTAAGAGTGTGGTATAAGATCCAGCAAAACCTTCTCCCAACAATTCGAGTTATTGGGACCAACTGGTTCTGACAGTTTGGACATGGCATTGCTCTTCCGAATCTTACACGAACTCCGATCCCTCCCACCAACATTCACACCATATATGGTACATCGTTCTATCTCCTTACTTTATGCCATTGAGGGCAATGCGAAGCTTAAGTGTGGGGGTATTCTTTTATGCTTGTGTGCATGTGTGAATGATTGGTGTGATTTTGAGTGCTTGGAGCCTAGTTGAATGCCCAAATTTTAAAAATTTGAGGGCTCAAAGTAAACCAAATTCTACATTTGCATGATCATAGTGTCACTTTTGGTGATTTGTTTCGAATCTCGTGGCTATTAACATGATATATGGATGATTTGTTTGAGATTGAGAACAACCTATGATGATGACTGAGATATGCATTAGGTTTGTGCAAAGGTTTGGTTTTCATGTGTTAGCGAACCAATGAATGTTTTGGATTGATTGCTCATTAATCACAATTGCTATGCATTGAAATTTGGAAGTTGGAATGAATGATTGAGCATCTAGGCAGCCATGTGAGATTTGTGTTGCTCGTTTTTTGTTTTTGTGTGATAGATCCCTCTTACCATGATCTATAAAATTCACATTGTCACTAGCAAGGAAGATGTAGCCATGTAGGCATAGGATTAGATCACGAACCAAAAATTGACATGTCTCGATTACATTATCCCCTAGTCTACCCTTTTGAGCCATGTGCTTAGGGTCACTCTTGTGTTGTGTAGCTCTCGCTATTTGAGCTTGATTGAGTTTTGATAGAGTGACTCTTACTTTCTTCGAGTCTACACCACTGTCGAGTCACCCTTATGCTTTGAAGCTCCCATCAATTGAGCTACATTGAGGTTCCACATTGTGGGTCTTGCATGGTTTCTGCTAACTGTGAAAGTGAGTTTTGAAGGAAGTCCTTAAAGGTGAGCATTTTTTTCGAAGTTCAAAGAATGTGGCATGTTATGTAAGCTCTCTTCTAATCCTCAAGAAAAAAAAAAAAGGAAAAGAAAGAAAGAAAAATAAGAAAGTAATAAAGATGGAAAATAAAAGTAGAGAGTGGCCACAAAGTTATTCATGCTCTAAAAAGTGTGTTTCTTAGTTGTCAAGCTTAGGAACACAAACATGATTGTTTACCTCCTTCAGTCTTGTGCTTAAACCGTTTCGATAGCAATTATAGCAACAAAAAAAAAGTATGTGTGGATAGTGTTCGTGATTGGTTGTTGTTTTGGAATTGTGGAACAGGAGGTTTGTGGTTTTTGTGAGTGGACTTCGGTCATTGTGAATAGGTTCTAGGTGGAATTGTGGAACCTTATGTTATATGTGTCAGCACTCAAAAAGTATTTTTCCTATGTGCTAAACCCTAGCCAGTCGTTTGAACCCGAGTGTAAGACCTCCAGACAAGCTAGTGATGACACCCATCTTGTGAACTCTAGCATTTAGAGGTTGCTATCATGGCGAAGAGACGGCAGGGCTGAGCAAATGAGTATGCACATCTTTTGTATCAAAATGGTTCTGAACCCACTTGTCGAGAGTGAAAGATTCGTTCTTCATGATTTTATTCATTTCATGTACCCCGATGAGGACCTTGATTGCTCGATCGTTTTTTCTGAAGACTTGATCTTGATGCATGAATGACTGTAATTCATGAGTCGTTTAGACAAGTTGTGTATTGTTTTGTGAACAAGGTGAGGACTCTTACTTTACACGGTTTTATTGCATTTAAATGTCATTTATAGTGGTTGTCAGGATTGATGTTGTCCATATGTTGGTGCCTAATAGCCATTGTGATTCACTTGCTTTGTGACTTATGACATGCCCCAATTTTTTTGGAGAAAGGGGTTGCAAGCTTACCTTTTGTTTTACTTGTTTTGCTTGGGGACACGCAAATATTGAAGTGTGGGGGAGTTTGATTCGGACAAAATTACACTTCCTTTACCCCCTCATATCTTGATTGTTTTACTTGGAAATCATTGTTCCTAGACCTATTTTACGCTAGGTTGTGTTCATTTTGAAGTATTTCAGGTCCTAGTACGTGTGGAAAGGTCGAGGACGAATTTTGGGACGATTGGTAGTCGAAAAGCGCCAAAAAGTGAAGAAAAGGCCATGATCATGGTTAGACGTGAAGATCACGACCTTAGGGTCGTGACAATTGCAAGATGGTCATGACTTCTTCACGGTTCCAGGAGCATTTTCACGTCTCGCGGGCATATCCATTATCACGGTCACAAACCGTGACAATTGTGAAGAGGACGTGAAGATGGACAAAAATGGCATCGACTTTGGACGAGATCATGGCCTGGAGTTTGAGATCACGATCGTGATGTTCTAAACATGATGTCAGCCGACGAGCTGTATAAAAAGGCAGTTTGTGGGAGAAACAAGGAGAGCTTGGCTGGGTTTGGAGCTTTAGGGTTCCGACCCAAAATACCCAAAGAGCCATTTCGAGAGAGAGAGAGAGAGAGAGAGAGAGAGAGAGAGGTCTTGAGTGATCTTGGAGCTTATTGGAGGCTTGAGTTGATCTTGGAGTCAAGGATTTAAGCCTAGAAGATGAAGATCTCGAACTTTTTTTTTGTAATCTCTCTTTTCTCTCTCTATAATTAGACCTCTTCTCTTAGGTTAATGAACCCTAGTTCTAGATTTTAGTTTGATGATGATGTATGTGACAAGTTCTATGTTTGATTGATGAACTTATTTAGTTGATGGATGGTTTCATGAATTGCATGAGTCTTACATGTCAATTGAGTTTTTGACATTGGTGGGAGATAATCCCCTTAGAGCCCATTATTGGTGTCTTAGGTTCACTCCTATGATATGTCATTCCGGGTAATCCCCGAGGAGGTCGATTTGGTCGATTTCTTGATGGTATATGAATCCCTAGTTTAAATAGAGCACTACCACTCACCGCTGCGTTATTTCGGGTCAATATCCGAGGGAGATAAGCTCCTTAAAGGTAGATGAATTGAGTCGATTGAGCTGGGACAGTACGCAACGTCAATCCAAATGATAGAACTAGGGGGATTCAAGCTACGAGAGCTCCATAATTTGTAATTAGCTAGGATAGTGTAGTTAGGTTAATCACTCTTCTAGGTTGGCTAGATAACGAAACCTAATCCAATGTAAAGTACACCCGGAGCCCCGTGGTTAAATAATTTTATTGCTTGCTTACCCTATACTACACCCGGTTGTCGATTAGGATGTGTATTTAGAGTTGAGTGACTACTCTGCATGTGTCATCCAATTGAAGAGGAACCGACCGCACCTTCCACTGACCCTTCTCCTTTCTTATCCCTAACCAAGGCTTCTTGTCCAGGTTTTCTGTCACTTGTTATGTCACCGGCTTCATTTTGCGGCCTTGCCGCCGTTGTTTTGTCCTACCTTGACCCTAAAAATCGCCCCCTTCCCAAAATCTTACTCTAAAACATGAGCCATATTCCAAAGTCCCAAAATTAGCAGTGTCAAAGTGGGGGTGAAAGGCGTCGCCCTTCAGTCAACGAAACCAGAAACTGAAAGCCAACAAACCTAAGATAGCCATCATGACAATCGATTGACAAAGAAATGTTAATAGATATCCTCAAAATTGTGCCTCCTGGCTCTCGTAGAACACCCAACTTTTTTCTCCTCCAACAGTATCTCACAAATCCAAAAGCAAATTGCAGTCGTGAGCTCCTCATGAATCAATACCTTTGGAGCGCGAGGAAGGAGAAGTTCGCAATTATCTTGACCATGATGAAAATGGTCGTGACGACACCTTTAACATCCAGTAATCTCATGTGCTCCCTTCGACATTCTTCGATTTCGCTGTCGTTGCCCCTAAAATCAAAATCTACTTATAGAGCGAAAATTCATTAACGCAGAGCATTGTTCCTGTAGGGGAGATGTTGTCGAACCCACTCCGTTGCATGATTTTGGAACTCTCCAGGCAAGCTTGTCTCGGAAATCGCTAGCGGATGATAATTTGACGGTGAAACCAAGATTGGAGGGAGTATAACGGATGAGGAGTTTAGGGGAATTAGTGGATTTCGATGGGTGAGTAGCGTGTGGGATATGAAAGAGTACGGAATGGAGTCCATGTGGATGAAGAGGGGATACAATCAAGAGAGAAAAGTTTGTGTCGAGCAGAAGAAAGGTGGGGGGATCAGTTGAAGAGAGGTTGGTCATTTAGCCCTCTCTCGATGGTTGGGTGGGAGATACATGAAGAAGAAGTATTATCTCAGAGGGTAAGTTTGACAATTCTCCTTCCATTTTGGTGCAATCAGTCCAGTCCAATAATGGTTAACAGAAATGGGATGGAAATACTAACAAAAGGACAAGTTTGATATCAATGCAATAATAGGGGGCAACTTTTATGTAAATCATAGGGTTAATACCTTATTATGGCCTGAACTATGACCATGTAATCAACTTTGGCCCGTGGTTTGAGAAATTAACATCCTAGCCCAACTATGCAGCATATTAGACAGAATTGGCCTGGAGCGTGGTTTGCCATTTGTTTGGACGGTCAACACCGTTGACCGTTAGTCAACTGTCCAGGTCACTGTCAAGTCAGCACAAAAAAAATTATAATTTCAATTTTCTTTTTATTTCCTTTATAAAATTGAATAATAACGAAAAAAGATAAAAAAATTCGGCCACCCATCCCCACCTTATCCCCTCGCCTTCTTTCCTTTTCGATCAGAACCCAAAAAAACCCTAACCATTATTCTTCTTCCCCGATGACCCGCCGCCTCCATTGCTAATATTTGGAATCGGAGAGAACCTTTCAACCTTTCTCGAGCCCAACGCAACTAAACATTAGGGCAAGTGGGTGACTGTTTCTTTTCGGAAGTGGGGACCACCTGTTTTTGGAGATGACTGGAGTAGAGAAAGGCCAACAACGGATGCTCTGTTGGCGGAGACAAGTGACTGTTCGGTGACCGTTGACGGTGAAGAGCTTTGTTGTTCGCCTGATACTGGCGAAGATGAATGGTGAATGACGAAGATGAGCTGATGATGTCCTTTGTCCATGACTCCTTGTTATGTTGCTGGAGATTTGACTTCTTTTTGTTGTTCGCTAGTGGGGAACTTTGCATCTTCTCTTTTTTCCTTCTCTGTTGTTGTTTCTCGACTAATTTGATGACGACGAGAGACACGAAAGGGTGGCTACAGGTGATGTTGTCTGGCTAAGATGAGCAGTAGACAACGACCGACGATGATGGAAGGGTTGGGTTGTACTCTTTTTCTTCTTTATTGTGGTCGATCTATTTTTTCAATTTTGTGGAGAGCTCCGGCTACTCTTGGTAGGATTTTGCAGCTGCTGTGATTGCTTGTAGTTGGTAGAGAAAGGGTTATTTTTTCAATGCTTCAATGATTTTTATTTTGCATAAATCTCATGCCCTCTTTATGTTTCTTGATGTTCATCATTTTTGTTTTGTTTCATCACTGATGGTTCTTGGAAGGACTTGGCAGATGCTGTTGTGCCTTGTCATTTGTAATTTGCTAATATTTGAGAAGGCCGCCGCTGTATTTGAATCGGAGAGAATGGAGGCGGCGGGTCGTCGGGGAAGAAGAATAATGGTTAGGTTTTTTTGGGTTATGATCGAAAAGGAAAGAAGGCGAGGGGATAAGGTGGGGATGGGTGGCCAAAATTTTTTTTATTTCATTTTTGTTATTATTCAATTTTATAAAGGAAATAAAATGAAAAATGAAATTATAATTTTTTTTGTGCTGACGTGGCCGTGATCTGGGCAGTTGACTAACGGTCAATGGTGTTGACCGTCCAAACAAACGGCCAAATCACGCTCCAGGCCAATTCTGTCTATATGCTGCATAGTTCATGCTTAATTTCTCAAACCACGGGCCAAAGCTGATTAGATGGTCATAGTTCAGGCCATAATAAGATATTAACTGCATAGAAGAGTAAGTTTGAGAAAAGAAGTATAACAAAGAGGCAATTTCTACTATTAATCCTTATTCATTTTACCTGTTTCACTTCTATATATGTTCTGTTACTTCTACCCCAACATATTTATCTCTCGGCTGGAATTAAGAAACCATGACCACTGCCGGCTGCCACACATGCATGTATCTTGTCTTGATCAGCAGCTGATCATCTGGTCTTGGTGTCAGAAGAAACATTATCACCAAGGACAGTAGCAGTTCTTTCTTGAGTTCAGTCCAGCTAGCTAGCTAGCTAGCTAAATATCACCATTATCTCTTCCAATCCTACTGACAGGTAACGAACACAAAGGACGCAAAAAATCAAAAGAATATATGGTTTCGTTCATTCAAATGAAAAAGAAAAGAACAAAGGCCAAGAATCAAAAAGTAGTCCAGTACTTTTGGGTTCTGATTCTGGCTTCCCTTTCAACTCAGCCATGAGCAGTGGTAATTGTGTGAGTGAAACGAGTTGAGTGCATCGAGTTGTATTGCTTGTCCTTCTCCATCTTGTGGCTCTCAATCAAACGAGTCATTGCATATTCTCAAGTAGTCTCTCTTAAGTCCCATAGACCTCTAAGACCCTTATCGAGGATATATTCCCACCCCCCACATTGCCCAACTGGCTCTTCTTCTTGCCCACCCAAAACCCACAACCCTTTCCCTTCCTCTTGTATATAAGCACAGCCCACCAAGCTTTACTTGAATTCAACCCACAAGCAAGCCACAAGCCAACCCAATTTTAGTTGCCCAAAAATGGCGTCAAACTCAATGAGTGCTTCCAGGAACTTCAGCTCAAGCTCGTGGACGCCCAAGCAGAACAAGTTGTTCGAGAAGGCACTGGCCCTCTACGACAAGGACACCCCTGACCGCTGGCAGAATGTGGGTAGGGCTGTTGGCAAATCCGCTGAAGAAGTCAAGTCCCACTACGAGCTCCTCGTCAACGATCTCAGGGCTATCGAGTCCGGTCGGATTCCATTCCCCAATTATAAGCCAAGTGGCAACGCCAACTGATCATTTCAGCCCCCCCTCTCCTCTCCTCTCCATAAGGTACCAACATTTCACTTTTGTTTGAGTTTGCGTATTTCTTCTTATTTGGTTATTATTTTTGGGAAAGTTATCTCATCTATGTAACAACTTCATCACATGCCCTCTCTGCGCACGCGCTTTAATCGATTTCTCCCATGGCAATTTAATTTAGTCAAAGTCGAGATTCTCCTCCATCACTATCACCATCAATGTTAGCTAAGCTAGGGCCCGGGGAGTTTTGGAAAGTAAAGAGATGATGTATATGCCAACAGTGGGTAGAGGTAAAGTTGGGTTGGAGTTATCGGAAGTAGTGGAGATGTGGGATCATGTTCCTTTCTCAATTTTGTTATCCTGTCAGTAGTGTTCTCGATGGAGCAGAAATTTCATATAGATATCTAGCTCGAAACTACTTCAAACTACAGCGTTTTGGATAAAATGTCAAGTATCAATTTTTTTATTTATTATAAATAATGGTGTTGTATATTACCAAAATAATAATAATAATAATAATGGTGGTCCTATATATAATGGAAAGGGTACAAGCGAGCGTGAGAGATATGTGGCCATTTCTTTTGGAAGATTCTGTCAATGGAGATCAAGCTTTTAGTGATAACTTTTCAGTTATGATATCTGTCCAGTTATGATATCTGTCTTTTTCGTTTAGATTAAGTGTTCCAAGCTGCCCGGAATGAATTTGACTAATTGGTTTAGGGTTTCTTTCTTTCTTTCTTTGTGATGCAGCACTCAGGTAGCAGAAAGGGAAGAACAGTACTCCAACTTTTCTCCTCCACCAGAGCAGAGCAGGTCCAATGCCAAGTATTGCCAATGATTTCTATTTAATTAAATTAAGAGTGGATTAGAAGATATTTGTGAAGGTTGAGCTCAGATTTTAATGCAAAGAAGTTGTCGGGAAAAGACACTAATCTTCTCCTCCATTTTGTTCGGTTTTTACAAGAATCCAAATTGTAATTTTCCTTAATACGTGTTCTCTTTCTTACTCCATGCGTGTAATATGTTTGTATTATTCCCTTCTTCTTATGGATCCGGATTTCCTAATAGCTTATCTATATTAGGAATGACAATGGGTCGATTTTATCTAAATTCAAATTTAACTTGGTAGATGGTACTCAATAAAAAATTCGGTAAAAGACCTACTGGGTTTTACAAATGAAAATTCAATCTAACCCAACGGGTACTCACGGGTGAATGGATATCTATGGTTCACGGACAAAACTATACATTGTTTATTCGAACCCCTACATCGTAATGTTATTAAAAATATTCCTCCAAAAATATTTCTATAAAGACTACTAACATTCATAAACTATTTAGAAAGGTTTATATTATCATAAATACTAATTACATGAATAAATTATTCATATTGTTCCAGTTATATACAAAATGACATGCTTTTGCTTTATGAGTGCGGGTTTGGTGATAAGCATGTTGGATTTTGGCAAAATTAAACCCAACCCGCCAATTAAAAAATGAGTAAAATCGGCACCCGACTCATAAACGCGTCAGCATTGAGTTTTACCCGCTTTGATAAGTTGGGTTGGATATCCATGAGTTCGGATTCAGTTGTCATCCCTAACCTATAAATAACCATCAATAACCCCTCAATCATTCATCGAAGACAATTGACATTCATAAATTATAGTAGGGATATACTAAATGATAATATGAATGCAGCATAATGTAGAATGGTAGTATACATGATAGAAGGGATATACTAATAGCCATTTAGCATATTTCATCATTGTCTACCATCAGTTACCGCCTCATATACCAGGGTGTTATAAGATGGTATATATTTGGTCCAAAAAAATTTCTCACCATAAATTTATAGGTAACGATGAAGTTGGTACATAAAAGCATCAAGGTGGTAACAAGGGGTAATGGGTGTTTTTTTTTTCCTCACAATATATTGAGACTGTATATTATTTTGTAAATTAAAATGAAATCATTCTATTTGTGCAGAAAAATTAAATAAAAATTAAAAAAATAAATATAGCCGATTGGAAAAAGTAGGAAAAAAAATTTAATTTCAATCTTTAAATCCAATCCCTTTCTATCAATAGGTCAAATATGATTATGCAATCTATCCTCTATCCTGGACCTCATCTTATATATCTAGATAATGAGAATTTCCAACAAAAAAAAACGTGCTTTATTTATGCAAATATTTCCCTTTTTTTTGCTAAGGTTGATATAGTATTAATAATAAAGAAAATTACACAGAAAAAAGAAAACAAGACAGAAACCAAGTTTGGTTCACAACGAGCAACAGATCCCGCTGCAAGACGAAAAGAAGAAGAAGAAAAAACGACAGAGCTCCCCAAAAACATTTATTAATACAAAAAAGCAAATCACATGGGACAAAATCACTGAAACATAGGACCTGGGTTGCTACAACTAAGGACCACCACGAACGATTACAACATGCTCACAATCCATCATGAAGAAGATGAGGAGAATTACCAACCACCGCAGCGTGTACCTAGAATATGATCATATGGCATCCTATGGATTTATCACTTGCATGAATATCCACTACAAAAAAGATGAGGTTTGGGGACGACAAAAGTCGTCCCCGGAAATAGGAAAAATCGTCCCTATAGTTGTTGGGGACGATTAAGTCGTCCCCAAAGAGTGGTTCCCTATACTCTTGTCCTCTATTCTTTTGGGGACGACCAAAATCTAGGTCGTCCCCATTACTAGGGACGACAGTCGTCCCCGATACTCGCAAGTCGTCGTCTCGTTTATTGTCCATGAAAGACAAAATGTCGTCCCCATAGCTATAACTGTAGCGACAATATGTCGTCCCCATAGCAAGAACTTTAGCGACAATAAGTCGTCCCCTAAACATCATTTCTAGGGACAACCTATTGTCCAACATAATTGATTTCATAATTGAGTTGGGACAATATGGGGATAATTTGTTGTCCCCTTTTCTTTTTATGGGTTCGACATGTCATTCCTATAGGTGTCAAATTGGAGTCCAAAATTCGTCCCCGAAAGCTTTATTCAAGGACTAAGAGTGGTCTCCTATACTATATCTTTAGAGACGACAAGTTGTCACCTAATACTTTTAGGGACAAACAATTGTCCCTTAAGTTCTGTATTAGGGGACGAGGAGTTGTCACTTATGTGCCTTTTGGGAACGACTAATTGTCCCCTATGTAACTCATATGAACGACCTATTGTCCCTTAGCATGTGTCTTTTGAGACAACTAATTGTCTCATGTATCACTTGTGGGGACGATCAATTGTCCCTTAAACTGTATTATTGGAGACGCCTAATTGTCACCTATTCACTGGTAGGGACGACCAATCAGCCCTTAAGAAGTGTCTTTAGGGGCGTCAATTTGTCACGTATTTAACTTATAGGGACGACCTATTGTCTTTAACCTTTATAGTTGGGGACAACTCATTGTCACTCATATAACATTTTGGGACGACGTGTTGTCCCTTATGTGGTAGCATGAGGGACACTAAAATGTCATCTACGTAAATTCTAGGGACGACTATGTGTCACTTAAATGGTGTCTTGGGGAACCAGAGGTTGTCACATTTGTAATTTATGGGGACGATCATGTGTCCCTTCACCAATATCTTAGGAGGCGACAAGTTGTCGTCTATATTAATTTTATAGCAAAATATCATAAAATCATCTCCATAAAAATTAGAAAAAAACTACTACAATGTCATCCCATCCAAGACTAGGAAAACCAACATTCATAGTTTAAAAGAATAACCATTCTCTAATGAAACAAGAAAAAACTAAAAAAAATATTGGATAACAAGTTCTAAATCAATGATTTGTTCTATTATCTCTCTTAACAAACAAAAAAAAAAGACTTAACACTTATAACTCTTCATACGGCACCATGTTTCCACCAACAACCATCATTCTTCTCTTAGCTCCCTGGAAGTGAAATTAGACAAAATTTAATAGTTAAATATATGGCAAGGAGCCAAGGACATCAATTGCATGAAATGGAAGCAAAGACTCGATTGGGAAAAGAAATGCATTGGGCCATCTTAGAAAAGAAAAGCTATAAAAATCCATAACAATTTAAGGCTCTTGAGTACCTATTTTTCCTTTTTGAGTTCGAAACCTGCTTGTGTGGTGCACTTCGTTTCTTATTCGCACGTCTAGCCTGTATAACGAATTTGAACGAGAATGTTAGTAATTTAAATATATTTAATCTTCAACCTTAGTATTAAATTTTATACCTTACTAGAACATTCATCCCTTGTATATTCTTCTCCACATGTGTCTTCCAAAGTGAGAGCATCCTCCCTCTAATTTTATGAGTGTGTTAATCTGATTGTGATTTTGTAAATGTATTGAAAAAATTCATGTAAGTAATAAGATAGAAAATTGACTACTTACTTGCCCACTGCGAGAAGATGATTCATGCCTTTCACTTTCCATCATTTCCATCAATTTTTCGAACCTTTGGGTTAAGGATAGATTTTGTTTGCCTTGATCTGCTAATTTTGCAGTTAGGTCAACAACTTGAGCCTCCAGTTTTTCTATCTTCCAATTCTGATTGTTTGTCATACCCTTTGTAGTTGACTTGTACCCAGTACCTTTTCCGCGAACATAGCCAGAGCGAGCACCAAACACCACTCTCAAGACATCTTCATTATCTTTAACAGTCTCATCCACATGCATGACTTCTTCTTCTGTTCTTCTTATCTCATGCTGGAATGAGTAAAAATGTAATAACATGTTAGTTCAAGCATAGTTGAAAGAAAACAAGAGATTAATGCAAATAAAAAGAACTTAAGAAAACAAGAGATTAATGCAAATAAAAAGAACTTACATAATAATGCTCTGATGAACTATCCACCCACTTCCGCTCATTATTTGAATTCATACTGCTATGTTGTGCCATCCAAACTTCCGAGGCAGATGGTAGTTTTCCAGTTTTCTCATCAATCTAGTATCATAATTTAAACTTTAATCAATAAGG